GTGATTTGATAAAATGCTATGCCCAAGATTACCATCCGAGTGCCGGCGGGGAAGTGGTTCAAATAGCCTCGGCTATCACTTCCTTATGTCCGGTCGTGATGGTCAAGCGGATTAAGGCGTCCCTGTACATACCAGTTGTGGGAGTATGGGTTCGAGTCACTTCTGGGGTGTGAGTTTTCAGTTGTATATAGTCCTGGGGACCATTCAGGCTTGTTTGCATTTGTGTTCCTCACGTGTGCCCCAAAGAATGAGGTGATTTGATAAAATGCTATGCCCAAGATTACCATCCGAGTGCCGGCGGGGAAGTGGTTCAAATAGCCTCGGCTATCACTTCCTTATGTCCGGTCGTGATGGTCAAGCGGCGGGGCTTGACCATCGGGGATTAAGGCGTCCCTGTTAAGACCCTGTTAAGTCCTAGACCCTGTTCCCCTGAGACCCTGTTAAGACCCTGTTAAGACCCTGTTAAGTCCCTGTTAAGTCTGTTAAGACCCTGTTAAGACCCTGTTAAGTCTGTTAAGACCCTGTTAAGTCCTAGACCCTGTTCCCCTGAGACCCTGTTAAGACCCTGTTAAGACCCTGTTAAGTCCCTGTTAAGTCTGTTAAGACCCTGTTAAGACCCTGTTAAGTCTGTTAAGACCCTGTTAAGACCCTGTTAAGTCCCTGTTAAGACCCTGTTAAGTCCTTAACAGCTAGAGTCCCTGTTAAGATGTTTGTGACCATCGGGGATTAAGGCGTCCCTTAATCCCCCCCAGCGGCGGGGATTAAGGCGTCCCTGTACATACCAGTTGTGGGAGTATGGGTTCGAGTCACTTCTGGGGTGTGAGTTTTCAGTTGTATATAGTCCTGGGGACCATTCAGGCTTGTTTGCATTTGTGTTCCTCACGTGTGCCCCAAAGAATGAGGTGATTTGATAAAATGCTATGCCCAAGATTACCATCCGAGTGCCGGCGGGGAAGTGGTTCAAATAGCCTCGGCTATCACTTCCTTATGTCCGGTCGTGATGGTCAAGCGGATTAAGGCGTCCCTGTACATACCAGTTGTGGGAGTATGGGTTCGAGTCACTTCTGGGGTGTGAGTTTTCAGTTATATATATATATATATATATATATATATATATATATATATATATATATATATATATATATATATATATATATATATATATATATATATATATATATATATATATATATGAGAGAGAGAGCGAGAGAAAAAAAAAGTTGAAAGTGAGCATAACTCCCGTACTATCACCAGAGGCAGACATAAACACGGGTGACACCGCCAGCATATGGAACGCTGGCCAACATTAGAACATCGTCCAGTAACCCCAACTCAGGACGCCGTCAAGGCCATCTACACAGCAGTTGATAGACCAATACTGCAATGTGCAGCACCGGCCTGGAGATCGCACCTTGTGAAGCATTAAAGCAAACTGACTTGAAGCTGGTCGACAAGGGCAGCCTCTCTGGAGTGAGTGAAAGGAGGCCGAGAGGATACGAGTGAAAGCTGAAAACGCAAATGAGTCTTAGGGAATGTAAGGAAATCTTCGTATCCTGTACCCGTACAGGGAACACGTCTATGCACCGAAGGAAGGAGTTGTGGAAGCCACCTCCATCCACAAGTATAAGGACAGATTCGACAAAGAATTTGCGCGGCAGAATAGTTCAATTGTGACGCAACGGGTATAAGGCTGGTAGGCGGGGCATGCAGAGCTACACCTCACGCCCTCGTAGTTACTAATAGGTAAGTACCACCACCCCCAGCGCCACCACCACCACCACACCCGCGCCACATCCTCCGTCATCACACTGAGAGGCTGTGGGCGTAAATATTTGAGAGTTCGAGGTGCGAGGTTCCTTCGGGGCGAGGTGCAGATTCTCTGGGTCTGACTGCACGCTATTTATATTCCCCCACACCTTAATTACCAGCGACGCCACTCCACACACCAGCCACACCGCACCACACCAGCCACACCGCACCACACCAGCCACACCGCACCACACCAGCCACACCGCACCACACCAGCCACACCGCACCACACCGCACACCAGCCACTCCACACCAGCCACACCACGCTGTGGCTGGCCAGGGCAAGTGTGGCCAGTCAACCCCCCCCCCCCCCACTACCTCTCTACAGGTCTACCACCACTACACGCATGTTAAGTGTTACAGGTTTTGGTAAAGAGAGTATATGATGTATTACGCTGTAGATGACATTAATCTGCGCGGTGTCTAGTACTGTTTAAGGAGCGAATCATTCACATTATGGACCTCGGCCCTTGTAGCTCGAGCAGCGTGTTGTCCTTTATTGGGGGAACTCGCCTAGTTGTGCTTGCGGGGGGTTGAGCTTCGGCTCTTTGGTCCCCCTTTCAAATGTCAATCAACCTGTACTTGATACAATATCGGTATGTGGAATTATATGTACTGCTTTCGTTTCGTTGAAAAATGAGTGCTTTGAAATCCGATTTTACTGGTAATAAATATAAATATATATATATATATATATATATATATATATATATATATATATATATATATATATATATATATATATATATATATATATATATATATATATATTGGAAATCCTCTAGATTTTTATCTATATCGTAGAGAGGATCAACATGCATCCCTCTCTAAGCCACACGTAGCATACAAGACTGAGTAATCCATCAGTCTTGTATGCTACATGAACAAACCCACAAGGGCTGTGACGAGGATTCGAACCTGCGTCCGAGAGCATCCCAGACACTGCCTTAATCGACTGAGCTACATTTGTTCATTTGATGCATCACGCTGGTGTGATTCCTGTGTGTGTGTGTTGTATGATACACGTGGCTAATTTATGCTTCAGAGTGAATCTCGATAGCGTGATCAATCCCCCCCCCCCCCCATCCCTCCTCCCTGGACTTAAGTCACTCTAGTGCAGCTCTCAGCGGCCCCACGCACCTAGGCTATTTATAGGCAAGTCTCAGGTCTTTTTATAGACTTGCATGCACCGAGGAGGTAATTTAAGACGAAGACACAAGTGCTCCAGGAATTTTATGAGGTGTCCGAGGGATTTTGTCTCGTGTGGAGAGGTTACTGTTGGCGGTGGTGGGAGTCCTGTGTTCTGTGGTGGGGGTGAGGGGCGCCTACACCCTTCACAGACATGCCAGGGGTCAGCAGCCAGGGGTCAACAACCAGGGGTCCTTCAGACATGCCAGGGGTCAGCAGCCAGGGGTCAACAACCAGGGGTCCTTCAGACATGCCAAGGGGGGGGGGGGTCTACAGTCAGGGGTCCTTCAGACATGCCAGGGGTCAGCAGCCAGGGGTCCTTCACAGACATGCCAGGGGTCAGCAGCCAGGGTCCTTCACAGACATGCCAGGGTCAACAGCCAGGGGTCCTTCACAGACATGCCAGGGGTCAGCAGCCAGGGGTCAACAACCAGGGGTCCTTCAGACATGCCAGGGGGGGGTCTACAGCCAGGGGTCCTTCACAGACATGCCAGGGGTCAGCAGCCAGGGGTCAACAACCAGGGGTCCTTCAGACATGCCAAGGGGGGGGGGTCTACAGTCAGGGGTCCTTCAGACATGCCAGGGGTCAGCAGCCAGGGGTCCTTCACAGACATGCCAGGGGTCAGCAGCCAGGGGTCCTTCACAGACATGCCAGGGGTCAACAGCCAGGGGTCCTTCACAGACATGCCAGGGGTCAGCAGCCAGGGGTCAACAACCAGGGGTCCTTCAGACATGCCAGGGGGGGGTCTACAGCCAGGGGTCCTTCAGACATGCCAGGGGGGTCTACAGCCAGGGGTCCTTCACAGACATGCCAGGGGTCAGTAGCCAGGGGTCCTTCACAGACATGCCAGGGGTCAACAGCCAGGGGTCCTTCACAGACATGCCAGGGGGTCAACAGTCAGGGGTCCTTCACAGACATGCCAGGGGTCAGCAGCCAGGGGTCAACAACCAGGGGTCCTTCAGACATGCCAGGGGGGGGGGGGGTCTACAGCCAGGGGTCCTTCACAGACATGCCAGGGGTCAGCAGCCAGGGGTCCTTCACAGACAAGCCATCAATAAACTTGATTACCTGAAGTTTATTGAGGTAAAATACACACAAAGGGATGAGGTAGCTCAAGCTATTCTCACCCCGTTCAGTACAACGTGTTCATACATATATAGACACACACCACAAACAATAAACATATTACCGAATTTTCTGGTTTGTCTTCGGGAATAATGAAACGTTGCTTTGTTTTGACGAATAATTGACGTATTGCCCTCCCTTCCATCCTTATCCTCCCAGGGATAACATTTTGATATATAATCCAGTTAAGCTGCGGACGCACCTTACGTCATCCCCCGGAAGGGCAACTTTGGGTTACATGGCCACTGTAACTCTTCACTAAATCAACAAGCCTCTGTACCCACGCCACAGCCCACAGGATGTGTGTGTGTGGGGGGGGGGGGGGGGAGAGGGGGGAGCACAACGTAGACCACCCATTTAAACATTATCATAACATCAGCTGGTTTAACGGTCTTCACGGTCCTTCGCCGACGGTCACGGTCCTTCGCCGACGGTCACGGACCTTCGCCGACGGTCACGGACCTTCGCCGACGGTCACGGACCTTCGCCGACGGTCACGGACCTTCGCCGACGGTCACGGACCTTCGCCGACGGTCACGGACCTTCGCCGACGGTCACGGACCTTCGCCGACGGTCACGGACCTTCGCCGACGGTCACGGACCTTCGCCGACGGTCACGGACCTTCGCCGACGGTCACGGACCTTCGCCGACGGCGCCATATTGCTGTTTCGCTGCAAGCCTGACTAGCTGGTGGCCTGACAACACGCACAAGACAGTGTTGTGAAGTGACAACACAACACAACGTTGTGTGTGGTTGACAGCATATTGTCTTCTCTTATTTCCAGTTACTCGAACTGTTTTATAAGCATTTTAAATTTTGTTTATTTTTTTGTATAGAAAATGGAGTATTTATATACATTTTCTTTTCTCCTGCAGGCGCCAGCAACACGAGCTGAAGGGCGGGAATATGAATGCAGGTGAGTTGACCGGCCTTCCTCCTCCTCCATGACACTGGTGATATTAATAATGGGTTGTTGTGCTTGTTAAGCCGTGGATCACTACAGTAGTTTAAGGTCAGGTCCCAAGCTGTGTGGAGGTTCAGGCGGCGTCCTAGGTCAATTGTTATAATTGTGTCACGGCTGACCTACTGCCTTAGTTAGCTTAGCACTAATGTTGTTTAAATAATTTCGCGCTGTGTAAAAACATTTAGGCACGACAGAGAGGCTATGATGGTGCTCGCGCCCTCTTGCTTATTTGTGTTGCCTAAAGTGTGTTAATTTAGGTCGACAAAGTAGATTGTCTTTGAAGTGTACCCTGGAATTGCGAGCAATATTGGTACACAATGAAGTTTTAGGGTCCAAGAGTACATATATTAGTACGTTCGAACAATTATATGAGGAAGGGTTGCATTAGTGATTCTTTCATCACTATATAGATGAATGTAAAGATAAAACACACACAAATTACAGACAATTGTCACAAATATCATGTGTGTCCATATATATATACTTTGAGAATGTTTGTCCAAAGTTGTAGGCCAGACGCTTAGGGCTAGTGTCGCCCAAAATTTGCAGGGAGAATGGTCTGAGGTACCGGATGGATATAGGCTGGTCGAGGGTCGGCAGAATTCAAGAAGGGAACAGCGTGCCAGGGTCACATGCTGACCCCCACCACAATTTGTAGCACAGCCCGCCAGCTACACAAAATATTTTGAAAACTGAAACCAAAAAAAAATGTCTGACAAAAATACACACCATTATCCACAGATAGGAAGACTAACATGCTCCTATCCTTACTTTGGTTGTAATAGCATAAAACAGACGATCTTCCCACAGCCTCAAAAGCTTTTTTAAGCCCCGCGCCATTTCCAAAGCAAATGAATAACTATTATTTTTTTGTAATCACACTGCTAATGTCCTGCCACCAGTGGCCCACCCACACGGCAGTGGTAGACAGCTTAAGAGAGAGAGAGAGAGATACACCGAGAGAGAGAGATACACCGAGAGAGAGAGATACAGAGTTGCAGAGAGATAGAGAATAGGGGGATAGACCTGGGCAACGCCGGCTACCCAATATCATAAATTATTAAATTAATAAAAACAAATCCTATCCGAGTAGCCTGAATTTGTCTGTTGTAAACAGTTTACTTGCTGATATAAAATTTTACCTATTTAACTGGTTAATTAGGTACATGGTAAGAGCAAAACGCCGTATACTACCCAAAGATTTAGCAATATACAGTATCCCAAATTCGGACTGTGTGGGGTACCAGCACACTGCTTAGGCCTGTAGTGTCGTAATAGATGAGGTAAGCCTATTGTAAGTCATTTACAACCGTATCTGTAAATGACTGGGCTGAAAGCACATTTATGATCCAGCTCCCTTAGTGGGCCAGCCAGAGGCTTAGGGCCCGCGCAGGAATTTCCCCGCAAAAAAAAGCTCCTGAAGACATTATATTCGTCTTAGCATTTTCTACACAGTCCACCGGATGGGGATGAAGTCCGCGAGAAATGCCGGGAATTTGATTAGCATGTCACCTTTTGTTGGACAGTAACAATGGTATACATTGGTGACCCTTCGGGCACAGTCTCCCCCCCCCCCCCCCAAGTGGACAAGTGTCACTAGTTAAGAGTTCACAGATGAGGTGAGCCCTCAAGCGGAGCCCTCTTCCAGTGCACAAGTATCACTAGTTAAGAATTAACAGATGAGGAGAGCCCTCAAGCGGGGCCCCCTCTTCCAGTGGACAAGTGTCACTAGTTAAGAGTTAGATGAGGTGAGCCCTCAAGCGGAGCCCTCTTCCAGTGGACAAGTGTCACTAGTTAAGAGTTCACAGATGAGGTGAGCCCTCAAGCGGAGCCCTCTTCCAGTGGACAAGTGTCACTAGTTAAGAGTTCACAGATGAGGTGAGCCCTCAAGCGGAGCCCTCTTCCAGTGGACAAGTGTCACTAGTTAAGAGTTCACAGATGAGGTGAGCCCTCAAGCGGAGCCCTCTTCCAGTGGACAAGTGTCACTAGTTAAGAGTTCACAGATGAGGTGAGCCCTCAAGCGGAGCCCTCTTCCAGTGGACAAGTGTCACTAGTTAAGAGTTCACAGATGAGGTGAGCCCTCAAGCGGAGCCCTCTTCCAGTGGACAAGTGTCACTAGTTAAGAGTTCACAGATGAGGTGAGCCCTCAAGCGGAGCCCTCTTCCAGTGGACAAGTGTCACTAGTTAAGAGTTCACAGCCCTCAAGCCCAGCGGTCACACGCGTCATAGGGCGGAAGTTGAGAAGCGGCAGGATAAACAAAGCCGGGTTGAAGCTGTACCTAGTAGTTCCTGGCTGTATATAGCACACCTTTATGCCTGTCGCTGAAATGGTTACCCATCGTCAGGGCCAGGAAGCCCCTAAGGCGTATCATTCACCTCGCTAGCCAATGACTGACATTCCCCGGGAAGCTACCCACAACAGCTCCCTAATTTGTCCTAACGCCTAGTCCGGACCGGGAATTGAACTCGGGTACAAACGGTCGTGAACCAACATCGCTGCTCTGCGCTACAGGGTATACAGAGATCCTGTAGTACTGTACACACAGTATGACACGGTAATAGTCCCCGGGCGCAGGGGTAAAACACTCGCCCGAAGCTTCGCAGAACTATTCGCATACTTTGCGGCATTATATAATGGAATGTGAAAAAATTCAGAGATAACATCATCCATGGAGTCCAAGAAATGTGTAAGTACTTCAACAGCCTGGTGGACCAAACACTCACAAGTCGAGCCTGGCCTCGGGCCGGGCTTGGGGAGTAGAACAACTCCCAGAACCCCATCAACCAGGTATTCATAATGATGTACTGCCAGGAATCTTAGCCAAGTATCCAAGGTTTGCTTACTGTAGGTGCAGCCTGCACATGACTGTAAAGCTGCCGCCCAGTTGGGTGGGTGTGGAGCACATGACTGTAAAGCTGCCGCCCAGTTGGGTGGGTGTGGAGCAAGACTAGTAACTGTGTGACTCACCATAGATGTAAACACAGAGGTAGCCAAGTCGTGCACGGGTACAAACAAGAATAATACAATCACAAATGAAAATATTTGCTGGTATTATGCAAAAGGACAGTGTAGATATGGGCCCAGAGGCACGGAATGCTCATTCATGCACCCACGGAAATGCCGAAACTGGTTAGGGAAAGGCAGATGTCGTTTTGATACAGAGTGTAGATATTTTCACCCTAAGCTATGCACACTCTGTCAATGAGAGGAAATGCTACGATCTTCACTGCCCCGATTTCCACGTCAGAGGTACACAGCGCCATATAAGAGAAGAAGTCCAACATAATAGCCCTGAAAATTTTTAGAGGCAGGTACAAACAGAGGGAGAAACAGACAGGCAGAAACGTGGCAGGAGTACGGATGGAGAGGGGGAAATGCCCAAGACTGGACTACAGTTCGTCATCAAGCCCACACATACTACACCCCCCAACTACACAGAGACTACCACACTCCCCAGTATCACTTCCAAAACTGGACAAACCATTGCCACAACAACACACCCTGGGTCAGGGTAGAGAGGAGGGAGAACTACCAAAACCTTCCAGAAGTGACACACAATATGGACAATCATTCATATTTGCAAACATTCAAGGTTTAAAGCCAAAGTCAAGAAATAAAGTTAAGTTCATAAATGGCCTTCTATTAGAGTCAAACTCAATATTTGGGGCATTCACGGAAACTCATACAAAAGATTACATGGATGGTGAAATCTGGATTCCAAATTATAATCTATATAGATGTGATAGAAAAACTAGGTCAAATGGAGGAGTAGGTCTGTATATTAAAGAAGACCTGGTATGCACAGAACTATTAAATTCAACTAATGAGGTGGTAGAGGTACTTGGAATGAAGGTAGAGAAACTAAACCTAATTATTATTCTAATATATAAACCGCCAGATACAACGATTGAGGAATTCACAGAACAGATGCACAAAATAGAGAACATACTTGACAACCTAGCAAACCCAGCTCCAGATATTATCTTTCTTGGAGATTTCAATTTACCGAGTCTAAGATGGAGAACGGCAAACACAAATATCATAGCAGGGAATGACCCGGGAAATAACCAACCACAGGTTAGAGAACTTTTGAGATTCTGTGACAAATTCTCGCTCAATCAACAGATTACAGAACCAACTAGGAACGAAAACACACTAGACTTGTTATTCACAAACAATGATGAACTAATCAGGGATATCACAATCTCAGATACTTCATACTCAGACCATAAGCTCATTGAAGTGCGAACTAGCATAAATAACGGTAGTAGGTCTAAGAGACCCAACAAGCGAGAAGGAATATTCCATCAATTCAATTTCAACAATAAGAGGATTGACTGGGAAAAAATAAATGTAGACCTTGCAACCATTCAATGGGAGACGGTCTTAAGCGACTAAACTCCCACACAGGGAATAGCTCAACTGACAGCTGAAGCTTACAAGGTCTGCTTGAAGCACGTGCCTGTGAGGAGGGCAGAAAGAGGACCACTCTAGAAAGAGAACGGAGACGACTGTACAGGAGAAGGAAAAAAATAACGGAAATGCTTCGGCAGACACAACTATCACAAGCAAGGAAAACAAGCCTAAGCAGGGAGATTGAGGAAATAGAACAAACGTTGAAGCGATCATATGAGTCTGAGGAAATGGAATTGGAACAGAAAGCTATACAAGAGATAAGGAAAAATCCGAAATATTTTTTCACATACGCAAAATCAAAATCCAAAACCTCGACCAGTATTGGACCGTTAATTACAAATGAAGGTACGTACACAGAGGACAACAAAGAGATTAGTGAAATTCTAAGAAGCCAGTATGAGGCTATGTTTAGCACACCAATAAACAACATGAAAGTTGATGACCCAGACAGCTTCTTTATGAATGACATTCAAGCTGCAGATAATATAACGGATATTACCACAAACTCGGAAGACTTTGAAAGAGAAATTGATAA